AGGAATAAGTTCCAGGCTGATCTTTTGGGGGGGTTGCAGTTCCCCCGTGGACATTCATGCACTGACATTGCCCTGTGGCACAGCTGGGGTTCCAGCTGCTGCTGCTCAGGGCCATTCCTTGCACCAGCTGTCAAAGTAGGAGCGTTCCCTGTTGCTTTCTGTACCTGTAAATGATCCAGGAACCCCCCAACAGCCTGGGCACCAGCAGAGGCAATCACAACCACAATGATCACCTGAGCATCTCATTCATCTGGACGAGCTTCTTAGCCATTTCAGGATGGTCAGGTCCATGTTTGTGCCCACAGTGGTCCACACCAAGGAAATGAGCAATGAGCAGGTCCCATTCGCCACCATCCACTGCAGAACAAGAGCAACTTCACCCTCTCCCCAAGATCGGGAGCCTCAAAATATCCTGCTGGGTGCCTGGGCCTCCCAAATCCAGTAGCTGCTCCAGAAGGCCCTGGGGCTGCCCAGGCAGACACTGATCAAGGTTAAGCTTGAAGGAAGATGGCCCTTCTGCTCCACCCCAGCAGTGCATTTCTAAGGCTATAGAAGCCTAAGCTGTGGAAGAATTCCACCAAGCCAGGCCTTCTCCCAAATGGAAGAAGGGTGTTTAGAGAAATGGTTTCTAACTCCCAAAAGAGGGGGAAATCCAGCTAGAGCACTGTAGTCCATGGGCTACAGCACAAACAAACAGATAAGAGTGCCCACTGCCGTTCCACAGAAACAAAAAACAGAACAAAAAAAACAACCACCCACACCCCAAACCTCTTCATTTCTACTTCAAACTCTTGCACTAGGACCTCAGCGCAACATAAAGATTCAGCCGATCCCTGGGGAAAGAGCTACTTACCAGTTGGATAGAGATGCTGTAGGATCCCATCATCAACAGTATGAAGATCCTTCACATTAAAAGAAGGGAAGAAATAGGAGCGGAAAAACTTCTTGGGGAAGAGTCCTTCCCAAGTGTCATCTCCCATGAAGACCACTCTCCTTCCTGGGGAAGCAAGGAAGGAATTAACAGGAGCAAGGAGCCCACCAGAGTCATGCTCTTAGCCAAACTAATGCAAAGAGTCTCAGCAGGTTCAGGAGAGGGGCTGGAGCACTGGCTGTTTTCCAGCCCGCACTCAAAGTGACCAAAAATTAAAATTTCCCACTGGTTGTTAGCATGTCTGAATGTCCCCACCAAAGGCCTCACAATCCTACTGTAAAACACTAGACAAAAGAGGTCTATGGACAGAGAGTGGCTGAGCAGAAGCTTTGAGTCCTAGGCTCAAAATTTGACCACAGCAGTGGTGCCTTTTCAAATGCAGAGAAGGGAAAAGTGCAGATATTTCCAATTGCCCTTGCTCTGCTTCCCCCTATCCCACACCAGCCACCCCCTCCGGGCTTCCAGAGAGTCTCCGCAGCCTGGGAGCAGGAACCGTTTCCTCTGCAGCTGCTGCCACAGCACGGAACCTCCTTCCAGCATTTTCCACCACGGATCATTTACTGCATTTGCTCTTCTTCCCCTCGCATGTGAGGTGCTGACAACTCAGTAGTGTCACCCCAACCCAGGTGGTTGTACCATGTAGAGCCCCGGCAGGAAGAACTGCGCCCTGTCCCCCTCTCCTTACAGATGCTCCTGAAGGCTGCATTCTCCAAACACACGCACGCAGCGCCGGATCACACAGCAAACGAGACAAAGGAGTAACCCAGCAGCTGCAAGCACCACCACCGTACCTGGCGCCACCACCTTCCCCTGCGCTGCTCCCTGGAACGCAAACACGACCGACCCGCAATGCCCTTGGCCTCCTAGAGCCACTCCTGGTGCTCGCCTTGTGCCAGTCACTACTAGCACGGCCATTACTACCTGTTTTCTCATCATCTTTGAGGAAATTCTACCCATGCTCCAGCTGCATGGTAATTAATTTCAAATAATTGGTTGAAAGGGCGGGGATGTTGCAAATAG